GTTGTCCCCATCCCGGGCTCGTTGTCCCCATCCCGGGCTCGATGTCCCCATCCCGGGCTCGTTGTCCCCATCCCGGGCTCGATGTCCCTATCCTGGGCTCGTTGTCCCTCTCCTGGGCTCATTGTCCCCATCCCTGGCTCGATGTCTCCATCCCTGGCTCGATGTCCCCATCCCTGGCTCGATGTCCCCATCCCCGCCTCACTGACCCCTCCTCCTCCTCCTTCCCACCCTGCACCGAGCTCAGACTTCTCCGCTGCTCCCCAAAAGTTAAACCCGGCTCAGCTGCCCGCCCACCGAGCTTAGCAGAGCCTCGATGAGCTCCCCAGAGCCTCGCGGCAGGGATCAAGCCCCGAGGTGCTTCCACGAGGATGTTCAGCCCTAAAAATGTCCCCGTGGAGCTCCCCAGCCCCAGGACCGGGGGGTGAAGAGAGGAAAATGCGTTTAACACCCAGGAGAGTGAGTTCATCCAGGACTGGGGTGCTGAGCTGCCCTGGGGGTGCAACACGGACCCCCCCAGGCCCCGCGGAGTGGGGAAATCACGGAAGGGCAGCCTGGGGGGGCTCTTCCAGCTGCAGAGTTATTTGTAGGGTCCCCTAAAGCCCACAAACCCTGGCCTGCCTCAGCCCCAATCCCCTGGGTTCAGGCAGAGCTCCGGGCTGGAGCATCCCCTGGGCTGGAGGAGCTGGGTCCGTGTCCGGAGGGACACCCAGACCCCTCACACAGAGCCCCCAGCCACGGCTGGAGCGAATTCCCGAGCAAAGCCGGCTGTTTCAAACAACAAACACGCGGAAAAGGCAGACGTGGGGCTCGGGAGTCCTTTCTGGAAGCTCTGCCCTTTCTCCTCGCCCTTCCCGAGCTGGCCGGGCCGGGCAGTGCTGCCCGGCCGGGGCTGGGTGAGCCCGCCCGGCCGAGCCCTGCAGGTGCAGGGAGGATTTCACGCGCTGGAATCACTCAGGGAGCAGCGGGGTTTGTGCTGCTTTCCCTCCCTCCCGGCCCCGCAGTGCCCCAGCTGCTTCTGATTACTCCGAGAAAAGCACCGGCTCCCCAAGGCAGGGAGAGCCACATTAACACTTCCTTTTGGGAAAAAAAAAGGGGGATGTAAAGCAAGGCTGGCAAATGAAAGCCAGATTCACACTCCAAATTCAGGGAGCGGGGCAGATGCTTCCACAAATGCCGCTAAAAAAAAAAAAAAAAAAGGAATTGGCTTTCATCGGTGGGAATCGGGAGCGGTTCCTGAGCTCAGCGCTGCCCCTGGAGTCCCTCAGCAGCCCCGGCCCTGCGGAATTCCCGGTCCCTGATCCCCACCCGGGATCCTGCAGGGACCCTGCCCTGCCGAGGGACAGCTCGGCCCGGCCTGAGGCTGAATTTCCCTCTGGGAATCCATCAGGACACCGGGATTCCATCCCAGCCCTG